ATCGGCCGGTGCAGCCGGAGCCACCGTGCGATCGAGCGTCGATTCGATGGCGTCCCCTCCGGTCGTGTCGACTGCCACGGCAGCCAGCGCGATCGAGAGCACCACGAACAGAATCGCGAGCCATTTCGTCGAACGGGTGAGGAAGTCCGCGGCACCGCGGGCACTGAGCATACCCGAGGGGCTGCCACCGATTCCCAGGCCGCCGCCTTCGGAACGCTGCATCAGAATGACACCGACTAGCGCGGCTGCGACGATCGCCTGAACGACGGTGAGGAAGAGGAACATGCGGGTACTCTTGGAACTGGGATTGGTGGGCTACCGCGCATCTAGGCGCGCGCGTGGCAAACGGCAAGGTTGCGGGAGTTAGGCCTCTTCCGATTCCGAGGCGCCGACAACGATGCCCAGAAAGCTTTCGGCCGACAGGCTCGCCCCGCCAACGAGCGCGCCGCCGACTTCGGGCGTGGCGAGGATTTCGCGCGCATTGTCTGGTTTGACCGACCCGCCATACAGAATGCGGACCTGCGCGGAAGCTTCCTCTCCATAAGTTTTGACGAGCAACTCGCGGATCGCGCCATGCATTGAAGCGATATCGTCGGTTGTGGCCGTGCGCGGGTGGAGGGGACGGGTCAACGCCTCCACGCACACAGCGTGGTGGGGCCAGGGCCAGGCTGGTCCCTCGCATCTCCACGCCCCCGGACACGGGCAGGAGCTAGCACGGCATATTTGAAGTGCAAGGCCCGGTGCGCGTGGGTGAGGAGGGAGGTGGGAGGGAGGCGGGGAGGCGGGTGGAGGGAGGCGTGATGGCGGGGCCTCTCGCCAGCGCCGCGGCGCAGACTCGCCGCAGCCCGCATGTTGGTGGTGTGTGCCGGTGAGTGCGCCGGGAGGGGGGCCCCACTCTCCCGCTGCGGACCTGGCGCGTCGTCTTGAGCACGCGGATGAAGTTGGAGAAGACGTCCGACACGAAGGAGGCGATGACGCCGGCGACCGCCGAGCGGACCAGCCTACAAGAAAGAGAACACGCGTGGCGGCCTGCCGCGCCGTGTTTCTTTCCTCCGAGCGGACGAGCTTGAAGAGCAGGTCGCCGACCGGCGCGGCGGGCAGCCAGCGCATCGCCAGGTTGAAGGCGAAGAACCAGGGATACGAGCCGACGAAGGAGGCCACCTTTCGCGAGATCGGGGAGATCACCCTCATCGCCGGCCACTCACGCCTCCCTCCCTCTCCCGCTGCCGCCGTCTCCGGTCCTAGCCTCCGAGACATTGAGATCTCACGCCGCGCGACTTGTCTCCCACGCACCCGTGCTGAGAGGGTTGAGCGCTGACGTGCCGACAGCCTCACCCCATGGGCAAGTGAACGAAGTGATCCCGGCGATTGGATTGGCGCACTGACGCCAAGAGAGGAAGGGTCCAGACTTGAGGACAATTGCTAACTCAGGGCCCCCTTTGGCGGCGTTGGGTTAGCGAGGATTGGTTCGCTATGCTAAATGAGAGAGAGAGAGAGAGAGAGAGAGAGAGAGAGAGAGAGAGAGAGAGAGAGAGAGAGAGAGAGAGTATCTCTGTGCGTGTGTGTGTGTGTGTGTGTGTGTGTGTGTGTGTGTGTGTGTGTGTGTGTGTGTGTGTGTGTGTGTGCACCGCGTTGGCGAGCGCGCTCTGATAGAGGACGACGGGCCCCTCGCGCTTGACCTTGTCGCCGAGCTGCTTGTACGCGGCAGCACCGTCGACCTGAGGGCCAAACGGGCGCGGGGCGAGCACG